TGTTCAAAAAAGCCCCCGCCAGTAGCAATCGTGTAATGCAATCGGTTTTCAAATTCTGCAGCCACAGACATGAGTTGGGTATGAGTGATACCCGCAGAACATTCACGGATGGCATCTTCCAAAGCAGCAGTGTTCGGAAACGGTCCAAGTGCATAAATGGAATCCAGGTGACCCCAGTAGAAGAAATCGAGAGGGTTCATACATATGGGGAGCGTCAAAATTGTGACAGAAATTATCCGATGAGTAATGACAAGTAGTGACGAATCCTAGTACCACCCCCAACTCGTTGACCAATGCTGCGTCGAAACCTGCATTACTATATGTACGCCGTATTGTAATTCATATTTGCACGCAGCTAACGGCGTTTTCGTATGCTGCGACGAATGTCGGGTAACCCTGTATAATAGTGTACAATGTAAAAAGAGGATAAATAACTGTCAGCTGATATTTAAATGTGGCAAAACCTGTTAGCTGGGCGTCCAAAGTGTAGCGTAGCGTTAGCCGCGCGCGGCGACTTTAAATTTTGATGACCCAGCTAACACATTTTTCCACGTTGTCGTGTCAGCTAGCAAGTGGTTTCCTTGTTTTTGCGCCATAAACTGATGAGGTACTCATTTCCATGCATGCTGATGTCATATTATTGGAGAAAAATATGATTGAAAGAGAATACATGAGTAGAATGGTATCACATACTGTATAATAATATTATACATGAAACATTGTATTTTATAATTTGTAACGTGCGTTCAGGACATATAATAAATCAAAATAGACAAAACAAACCAAACTAATAGCTTCAGTTACAAGCCAAGCGGACCAAGCCGAACCGCACCGATGTGTCAGTCAAGTCAAGTTCAAGCAGCGAAAATTTGACGTTTAAACATTATCATAATAAAAACAAAAGAATAACATCAAGCGACTTAATTTTTTTATCAACTTTCCATAAGAAGTAACTAAAACATGGAATATCTCGGAAACCGTTTGGAGCAGCTTTTGACATTTTGCATCAAATTAAAGGTCTGGAAAAAAGGAAAACAAGGGTG